GTCACGGGGCTGGTGTAGCAGAGGAGCATGTTAACTCTGCTGCTTTAGGTCCTTTATTGATTTCTCTGCCTACCTTTGTGTGAGCTGTCATCAGGATGCTCCACCCGCTTTGCAATTGTCTCACTCCTGCTTGCTGCACTTCCCTGTTGGATTTACTGCCCTTCCATGTATGCTGGCCTGCTCCAAAGTATATTAAAGTTTGTGTAGCCTGGACCCAGCCCTGAGACCAGGCAGCTGTATCTGGCTTCCTTCTGCATCTTCTCCAGAAGATCCCATTTCTTCCACTGCTATTGCCCAGCATGAAACGTTCTCCTGTTCTTCCTTCTAGCCCAGCTCCTGGGTTACTGGAGGGACCTTACCTCACCTCTTTCTCTCCTGCTCTTCTCTCCTTTTTTTTTTCTCTCCTCTTTTTTTTTGTTTTTTAAGTTTGTTTATTGCTCTCTCAGTTTGGAATAGAGGGGTAAAAATATTAATATAAGTATCATCTAATATTTCAAACATACAGAGCTCAAAAAGGGAGAATATAGAAATGAATTCTAAAAGCCAAATTGATTTGGGTGAATTTGGTTCATAACTGACTGATCAGCAGTAATCACTTATAAGAGAACTTCGAGCTTGACTGCTGGGAAATAATTTCCTGCTGCCTGTTGTAAGAGGCAAAAGCCCACTGTGGTCGTTTTAATAAAGTATCTCATGGGGTGCATGAGGCAGGCTCTTTGAAGAAGACCTGCAGGTTGAGGGGAGGGTGGCATAGAAGCTAAAACATTGTAAAACAGGCAAAGGGCATCCCTGTAGCATACTTTGATTATAGAGGGAAAATGCTTTTTCTTTCAAATATAATAGCCTCACTGCTACTTAGTAGTGGAGGAGGTGACACAATGTCACTTTTAGCAGAAGTGTGAGACAGATGTCTGCAGAAAGGGGAAGGTAACTCGGTCAATGGGAGAAGGCTTCAGTCACAAAGATACTTCACAGCTAAATTTAACCAACATCAAGGAACCATCCCGGATGTGCCGGGGTTTGCTGTGTATCTCTGAGTGGTTTGGGAGGTGCAAAAGTGCAACCAAGGCATCTGCTCTTACTCAGCTTTTGTTATTGAACGGATTTAAGAAATAACAGCAACTGAGAGGTGAACCTGCCCCTAACATGTGCCCAGTCCCAGCCAGCTGCACTTTTTGATGCTGTGGCACGCTGTGGCTTTGTTTGCTTTTTCATTTCAGTGCTGGAGCCAACCATACATCAAAACTGAGAGACAAAAAATGAAAGACAGTGTTCAAATTGTGGCCTGATTGAATTGGCACCTTCTTTTAAAATGACTGCTGTGCTGCCCAGAAGCAACGTGTATTTAGGTACCCATTAGTAGTGGGCCAAGTGAAGTGACTGCTCAGCATGAGAGCTGCTGACACGAAAGGGAGCTGCCTACACCCTTGTGCTGAGGTGTGTGGCTCATACTTCTGCATAAACATCTCCAAATAAAGAAAAAAGCCAGCACTATTGACAAAGCAAAGGCCAGCTCTATTTATATCTGCCGTAAGGCTGCGTTAATGAAAAGATGCTTTAATGTGTCCCAAGGCCTAGATGAAACACTGAAAATGTTGCTTTTAAGAAAAAATGATAATAATATCCCCTTGAAATCCCGAGGAAATGTGTGTGACAGACTTCTTGAGAGCAATATCAAAGAAATGAAAAAGGAGTTGCAGAGCATAGGGAGTTACTGCAGTTATGGGCTTTGAATTGGTTTAAATCTTTGCTTTTAAGCTTTTTTTCAAAGTATCTCTTTAAAAGTAACACTTTAATGAGAGGCAAAACGTTTTACTGCTGCTGAACTCTAGCAGCAGTACAGATCTGTCAGACCTTACCTTATTTTGGAGTGTAAATCCTTTCTTTGTGGTTGCTCTTGCTGTCTGGCCCTTCTCATGGGTGTCAGACTCCTGGGGGCCACACAGGTTTTGGGAGGGGTGGTGTGAACGTCTGCAGAGGAGGACAGATGGGTGAAAATGTTCTTTCAGCACAGGATTTGCAACTTCATGGTTAGAGGAAAGAACTTCTCCCTTTTTACAAGTCTTTTACAGGCTTCCGAGTTTGGTTTTTGTTTTGTTGGGTTTTTTTTTCAAGGTGATTGGAAAATGGGATAAAGGAAAATATTTACTCAAAATACCTTCTTCCTTTTCATCTTGTTGTATCTTTGACTGGCTTTAGCCAGGGGGTCATTTTGTGTCATTGAGCTGGTGTAAAATACAACTCTGAGGGCAGAAATGCCCTTGGGCACTTCTGAGCAGGTTTGCAGGTTTCACAGCTCTTCTGCTGTGTAAGCCTCATTATAAATCATTATTTTGGTCTCTTGATGAATTTAGGGGAAGGGCTGCAAACAGCAGCACTAAAGGAGCAGAAAGCAGTGTCTGGAGCCTGTCACCTCCCTAATCCCTGCTCCCAGGACATCCAAGGCTCCTTCCCCAGCCTCTCCCAGCCAGGTTCTCGCTGCTTCCAAAACCAACATGTGCTGATGAATTTTATTTTAACCTCTCCCAGTCAATACCTGCTGTGTGCATTTCTAGCTTGCATTTTTAGTCTACTTCTCTTAGATCAAACTGCTATGCTCATATTTGAAAATCCCACTTGGCAAAAGAGCAGGGCAATGATCGTATAGAAACATACTGATTTTTATTAACTACATCATCCAAAAGAGTTAAATGACAGGAGAAACTATAAAGCTTGGGCTATTCGTTAAAGCTGGAAAGAGATCCAGGTTTGAGTGGTGGAATTTGGTTTTTTGAAGCATGAAGGATGATATTCACCCTCTGCCCTTGGAGCAGGGGACGTGCTTTGTCAGGGCCATTTGCAGCCCTGAGCGTGCTGTTGGCACTCATCAGATAACTGTTATTATTAACAATGCACAGATGTATTGGCAATTGCTTTTAGGTAGTCAGGCCAGCTGGAAAGAGTATGAAAGAACTTATTAAAGATAGATATTCCGGTGTGAATTAGATGAAAAGGAAAAGAAATTCGGGTTTATCTATGTAATTAAAGGCACACTCTGCAGAGGAAAACAAGCAAAAGCATATGGAGTGCATGCACAATTTTTGAAAGCTAACCACTTTAGCTGGCTGAGGGATAGGAAGTGAAAGAGGAAAGCTGCATTTTTACCTTCCTTTTGTCCCTTAGATGCTCATTTGCAAATATAAATGGGCAGGTGCATTTGTATTATTTATGCTAAAAGAAGATGAGGGTTGTAAGGGCCAGCACCTTGAAAGTAGGTCAGCCCAGAACTGCCCTTGCTCACGCAGTCTCTGTGTGGGCAGCCAGGCTGTTCCTGTTGCCTTTCTTTTACCTCTGGAAGGACCATTTCAGGCCCCATTTATATCCCACATCTTCCCACCACATCTTCACTCCTGATGCTGGACAAACAAAGCCTTACAGCCCATCTTTAGCCATAAAATGCTCTCGGCTGAAATCCCTCTTGCTTGTTTTTTCACACCCCACCACCCAGCCGGCTGCTAATGAAGCTGCACTGTATTGTTGTCTCTCTGATTTCCTATTGTCAATTGAGCTGATTTTAATTGGTTTGCATTTTCAGTTGTTTTTCAGCTCATCAGGAAGGATAATTAAAATAAACTCGTGCCCTCCGTGCTCCTCTCCATCCGTCCTAGTGACACTAGCTGAGCATGTTAATCTGAAGAACAGTGAAGGCAGGGCTCACTCCCTGGGAAGTGTTTGGAGGCTGGTTGTTAGGCATTACATTGTTCAAAACACATTAAATTGTCCTGAATGAGGAGGAAACATGTCTCAATCATCAAGCTGATGGTCATGAACGGTCTTCTGCCACAAGTTGGTTACATTTGAACTAGATTTAGCTACTGCCTGCCTCATCCCCATTCTGCAAGGGAAGCTGTGGACAGGAAACTGGCAAGGAGGAGGAGGCATAAATTCAAGATACCCACAGCTTGGACCAAAAGCCTTATATAAATCCTTTGGATTTCTAGACTTTAGAGAAATACAGTTGGCATTTCTGCCTTCTGTCGACCAAGCAGGAAAGTTTAACTGGTAGTCCAGGCTACGGATGCTTAAGAGTCTGGAGGTGGCTTTAAGATCCGAGGGTGGTTTAAATGTTAGTGGTGGGGAAGAGGGAGAAGGGGAAGTAACACATTGCTCAGTATTTCCTGGATTATAAAACCTGTATGCTGGGCTAGAGGCTGTTAGGATTGGCTTAGTCTCAAAATGAGGAAAGGAAAAAAAAATATACATACATATGACATGCAGTGAGTTAGTCAGGAATTTTTTTCAGCTTATTGCTAATATTTGTGCTTGTGAAAATGTGAAACTGAATTTTGAGAGTTTGGCTATGTATTTATACAGGATGTTGTAGTTATTGTTTGTATCCCTCAGGTGAGCATCACTCTTAGAAGCCACTAGAGACCTCCTGGTCTCCTGTATCATAGACCTGCCATCACTGCTGTGAAAAGCAGACTCCTGCCTTGCTGGGAACTTGTAATAAGCAAATGTTGGTGTTTCCTAGCTGGGGGTTAGCACAAAAACCACCGCTGAGGATTTGTGCAAAGAGGAGAGGCTTCGTTCGCATGCGTTGGCTGTGATGGATGATCTAGGATTTAACCTCCTCCCTCTGGCTGAGCAGCAGGGCAGCATGCAGGCAGGTAAACCCACCACAGAGCAGGGACCAAGGCGCCGGGACAGGCACGCACTGTTGCTCCTCCTGACTGCCAGGCTGCCAATTAAGTGGCAATTAGTAGAATAAATGTCTGGGACACGTTTCCCCCTCCCCGACCGTGCTATGGTTTGGTCGTTGTTGAGGGGGCAACATGCCTCTCTCCACGCTACCTTGGCTTTGTGATTTGTCAGCCCTAATCAGTTGTAGGGTGTTAATTATAATTCTGATTATGCCTCAAAGTGAGGAAACAGGAAGAAAAAAACCACTGAGCCCAAGGAGCTCAGTCTTGTGCCCTCGCCAACACGGCTCTTCGTTTCCTTCCTCCCATCTCTCCCAGAGGTCAAAAATAGCTGTCTACGAGAAGATGTGGTCGTACATGAAGTCGGCCGAGCCGTCGGTGTTCACCAAGACGACGGCGGACGGGGTGGCGAGGGTGAGGAAGTCCAAGGGGAAGTTTGCCTTCCTGCTGGAGTCCACCATGAACGAGTACATCGAGCAGCGCAAGCCCTGCGACACCATGAAAGTCGGCGGCAACCTGGATTCCAAGGGCTATGGTGTAGCAACCCCCAAAGGCTCAGCATTAAGGTGGGTGGAATAATATAACAATATCCATGTTGTTATAGTATTCCACCTACCCTGATGTATTGTGTTGTCATTTTCTTTCTTGTGGATTTTGAGGTAACTTTAAAGTTTAAAATCTTCAATATTCCATGGAGTTAAATAAGACGGTAAATGATGGTTTCGTTTATTTAATGCATCCATTTTTTTTAGTGTTCTCTTCGTGTTGTCCTTTCTGATTGTTTGTTGCTGTTTTAATTTTACAGTTCGATGGCTTTTTCAATTTAAATGGTAAAAGCCGAGTTAACCTGCCATACGTGACGAATGTTAACTGCATGATGTGGTGTTCTTGTTACTTTTTTTCTCAAAGACGAGTTCCCCATCCCGCACACTTCAGTTTTGAGCAAATGTTATCCTCCATGCCACCTTCCAATATTTAACCCTGTATTTGCTGTACAGACATTTTGATAGCTCCACGTTCTGTGAAATTTTAGCCAATTTGTCCTCTTGTGCTCCTTTTTTTATACGTTACGATTTCCTAAGCATTTGTGCATTTTTTCTTACAAGTTATGTTTTATCGTTTCAAGAAATGCTGTTAACCTGGCAGTATTAAAACTGAATGAGCAAGGCCTCTTGGACAAATTGAAAAACAAATGGTGGTACGACAAAGGAGAGTGCGGCAGCGGGGGAGGTGACTCCAAGGTCAGCCTCAATGTCACCACAATCGGGTACCTTAGCAAAGAGTAATCGGCAAGGCTGTTATTTTACTTCTCAAGAAAAAAAGAAAACCAACAAAGACAAAACAAACAAAAAAAAGAATACAGTTTTAAACTATTTGAATAATTGCGGTGGGGGGAAAAAAAAAGCCATTTGCTTGCCCAGTAGCTCTTTCAAAGAAATGGTCTTATTTAATGTCATCAATAGGCTTGGTCGAGCTCGGAAACCTTATTTAACTAACAGATAGAAAGTCCAGGTTAGGTGGAACCTACGCAGAGCAAATCAGGCATTGTTAACTGTACAAGAAACCAGTGGTCACATCTGGCCACTGTGCTGACCCCTGAGGACGTGGCTTGGGTCCTTCTCCGTGATTTAGCTGTGATGTAGAGTGGCTTTTGAGAGGTTTCTTTTCAACTGTGCTAGCACAGACCTGGAGACATGAGGAACCCCTGCTCCTTTGCTCTCCTTGGGGAGGGGTCAAGCAAACCAGTACCAGCCCTCTCTGCTTTTCTGGCCTGAACTGGTACCACCAGAGAGACTCTCTGGAGGGGAGCTCCTTGGGTGGATCCGTAGCTCAGGGAAGGAGAGGGTGTGCATCTCATTGCAGCGTGGGGTCAAGCGATGAGTCAAGCAATCATAGCAAAGACATAACGTCAAGCAGAGGTGGAAGCCACCCATTAATGGCAAAACAATAGCAGCAACGGTAATGTATAAGGAGCTAGAGCTTGCAGTAGCCAAAGCTGAAATGAGAGATAAGATCCTAGCTCCAGCGACAGCAGTGGCAGGGCTGTCACTGCCTTCTGCTGAACTGAGGCTTCGCCCAGTCTTTGAGGCAGCCTATACGGTAGCAAGACTCAAAGTTGCTTTAATGAGCTTCTATACTGCAAAAGTTAACTAGTGTGCTTTTGTATTGCCAACCTTGCCCTGTAAAACTGGCAGTTTCTGCAGCCTCCAGCCCGGTGAGGAGAAGCTGTAGCTAGAGTAGGCTGGCTACTATGGGTCACCTTGAGTACAGGAATTACCAGCAAAACTGATTTTAAAGACTTTGTTGTACTGAAAAGTACTGAGATTAATTTTCATAGTGACACTGTCCTACAGGTAGTAAAACCAGTTCCTTAAGGAGCAGTAACTCCTGCTCTCGCTTATAAAAATGCTTCAGCTTTGGTCCAAAATCAATAATGACAGTATTTTCAGTAAACTGCAATTTCGGACAATTACTGCAAATTACTGCTGCATTCTATTAAGAGTTGCTTACAGTTGGCTACGTAGGAGATTACTCAGCTGCTCATCTCTGACGTTAGCAAAGCCACTGTGTGGTACTAAAGGAAGGAGAAGCTCTCAAATTGAGGCTTGTTCAATAACTGGAGGTCTGCAGAGCTCAGCAGCAGCCTGGAGACAAGCGTGAGCTTTTTTATTATGCTTTTTAGCTCTGCTGCTCATCCTTCACACAACATTTTTAGATAATGTTATACTTGCCAGTATATTAAATGTTTAATATTCCCCTGGGATCCAGCACCACATTGTCTAATGCTACCTCCATGGGAGAAAACTCTTCGTACAAACCAGCTTCAATGAACTTCACTGCTTCGAGTTCATTGAATTAAACCCAGCTGTCTAATGCTGACAGCCCTAAGGAGACTGAAAAAAAGGCTTTTAAAATGTTCCTAATTAGGGCAGGGCTTCATGTGCTGAAAGACCTTTTACAAAAAGCAATACCATCCATTAGCAAGCCCTTGGCCCTGGTCAGTGGATGCTGAGGGAGTGGAGTCAGGTGTCCTGTGATACCACGGATAGATATGCAGTGAAGAGGGAAGGGCAGCCAACACAATGACACGTGTGTTGCTGCTTTCATCCAGAAATGCCCAAGTGCTGTCTGCCTGCAGCTTGTCCTAACACGCTGTGAGGAAGGGCTGCTTGGGGCAGAAGTCTCCAGGGAGCAGAATGTGGGTCAGAGGAGACCTCCCACAGAAGACTAAGCTAGGGGAGGCGGAGAAGGGGCTAGGTGTTGTTTCTAGGCAGGCTGTAAATCAGAGGAGTTTTTGTGAGCATGGCTTTAGTTTTGAGGCAGTGGTTTGTAGGCTCGGGATGCCGTGGGCTGCTGTGCCACGGTGCTGGGGCAGGTGGGCAGATGCTCACCCCCATCACTGGCCACTCACACCGAGCTCAGGCTGTGCCTCAGCCCCACGGGAGCCCCGCTGCCCTCAGGGTGCTGCCCTCGGGGTGCTGCAACCCTGGCAGTCTCACTGACCTCTCCTTCCTCCTCCCTGTTCTCCTAGCAGAAGCCTGAATTGCCCTCCTCATCTCATCCCATCTCTTCAGCTAATTTTTCTACGAACACAGTTTCTTTTGTAGAGCGTTTCAGAGGAGTCGCTTCAAAACTGATCTTTTTTTCCTTTAAAGGAGGAGGTGCTGGGGGGAAACGCAGGGGACGGGGTGGTGAGATGCAGACCTTGCGCCTCGTCACAGCATGGGGACCATTACTCACTCGGGGCAGCTCTCTCTACCGGCGGAGCTGACAGACCACCTCTCAGCTGCACCAGTAGAGACCCGGGCTTGGGAGACCCCTGCCCCGAGTGGGTAATGCTGCGTGCTGCCAGCGCGGCGCCCGTGCCCGCCAGTCGCCGCGGGGTGACGGTGTCTTCAGCTGAATTCTTTTGTGCAATCTGATATTCCAGCTCGTGCCGAGAGGCAGAGGTAAGTATGGAGGCTGTTTGCTTCTGCCAGTGCCACCCGTGCTGCAGAGGACCCAGTCACCCAGCAAACGCCCACCCATGCCCATCCTCCCTGCGGGCTGGCGTGCGGTTCGCCGCTGCCTGAAGATGAACGATTCTGAGTTGTGAGTTCACCTCTCGGTGCCGTGTCTTCATCGCCACTGGGAAATGAAGCTGTGACTTCAGATTTCACAAGGATTTTGAGTCTTACAGCGGGGGAGAGAGAAAAAGGTATTCAGCTGACTTTCTGCAGGTTTTTTAATCAGTCTGGTTACACAGCCCGTAAGGTTCGTCCCGTGAGTGTCCCGTTCTCCCGGGCTCCACTTCTCGTTTAAGACTAAAGAGACTGTGCTGATTTAATGAGGTGGTTTGAAAGGCTTCAGCTGACATATGTCTCGTTTTCAGTGCTACCAGTACATGCCAGCACTGGTGTGGAGCAGAGTGCCAGTCTGCCCAGCGGTGTCCTGGCTCCCGCTACTGCCCTGGCGAAGGCAGTCACCTTTGGAAATTTCAGTGGTGGTCCTTATTTAAGAAGCCCAAAGGGGACCGTGGCTCCATCCCTGTGATTTGTCTGTGGTGCATGGTGATAGGCATGTACTGATCTGGCTGCCATTCTGCTGTGTGCATCAGGATTTGTTCACTTAGCTCTCCTAAACAAGTGTGAATTTAGTTTCATCTGTTGGATTCATGGCAAAATTATACCCTCCTCAAATTCTGTACGTGTGAGCTGAGTTCTCAATTATGAGAGAATGCAAAACAACAGCTGTAAAAAAACCATATTCCAGGAAATATGTTCCAGTGTATTACAAGTTTGGAAACTAATTATTTTGTTTATTATACAATCCTATCATCTCGAGCTGAGGGATGGCTGAATAGGAATTTAACAAGAAATAGACAAAAGGGGACGCAGACGACGGTAGCAAGCTGAGAGACTTAAGTGAAACTAATTATTCAGTTGCATAGGAACAATTTTCTGCTAAGCTAAATTTCTGTAGTTCTGCCGTTGATGTATTTTGTGTATTCTTCTACCTTCACGGTAACATGTACTGACAAGCAACACAGGAAGAGAATGCTTGAATGCAGCATCTCACCAGCTTCACATGCCAAGATTCCTTGCTAATTATTTGCCTTAATTCCTTTAATATATTCTTTTTTAGGGTGATCTCTTTTTCGGAGTACACCTGTGAAGTGACAAGCCATGTAATACTGCTTCATTTTTCAGTTGTTTCTTTTTAATCATAGGATTACTTTTCCAGCATGCTGGTTGAGTCCTGCCCTCGGAGTCATGCTCCATCAAACATCCCATTCCCAAGCCCTTCTGAGCTGTGAATGTGGCCATTAGCAGATGGGGCTTGTTCCTCTGTTTCTCTGTGCTATTTCACTTCAATACGTTTGCAGCACAGCCGTTAGCATTTGCAGCATAATTTTTTTAAGTGGCATATTTTTAGAAGAAATCTGTTAGGCATTATTTTAGATGATACCTGACATCTCGAGAGCACCATTGCCAAACTTGTTCTGCTTTGAAGAGAACATTTGGGAAAGTGGCTATCTTAAAAATATGCAGCACAATTTATTTGAGCAATTTGTTTGAGATGATGTTCATGCCCATGAATTTACTTGCCACCCATTCTATAGGCCTGGGTTATGAGCTGGAAAAAGATAAAATGCCTGGTCAGAGCCAGTGATAGCAGCACAGAGCTAATTCCTGCTCAGAGCTGGGAAACTAATATGAAATTATTGTATTGTGCAAATTAGTGATGAAGCAAAATAACACTTTAAAAGGAAGACATCGTGGTGTTTGTTTAATTGACAGCTATTGCTTTATGGCATATTCGGAGGTAAGACTGTGTCTGTTTTGTGCCAATAATGAAGTCTTAATGCTCTAGGAGTTCCTCAGAGCATCTCACTTAGGGCATTGCCAAGAAGGACAGAGAGCCTGCTCTGCTTTGCAGATACGTCTGTGCTGTTGTACAGATGTTTGAGATGAATTTCCTGGGAATATTAACTAGAAGGCTCCAAACCAGAATTTAGGATAAGAAGGTTGCCCAGGCTGGGAAGAAGGTGGTGGCATTCAGGGGTGGCATCTAAGAACTGGGAGTGTTTTGGTTTGCCTGTATAACTGTTGGCATCTTGAGGACTAGCTTTGCTGACTTGATGAGGCTGGACCTGAGCGTGCAAGGAAACGTGCTGGAGCAGTGTCAACCACAGCAGAGCTGGGCCTCCTGCACTGACACCACGTCCTGCCTTCATGGCCACAAGAAATCTTAAAGACTT